GAAGCATTTCTTACTTGAACGATAGGCATAAGAAGTTATTCAGGTTGTAAATTGGTGGTAAGCGTTCCAAAACGAAGTCTTCACAATGTTCATAGTTACAAATTTAATAAGAATGTTTTGTTTTTTAAAAAAAAAATGCTTATTAATAGGTCCGTCGTGAAATTCCAAAATCTCTCTTAACACGATATTTTGAGATGCATTTGGCATTCTCTATCAAAATAAATGAAATAGAACTTACCGGATACAATTCGTTGACACAAACGATCAGTTGCTGCTTCTGTTAGGTATTGTTCAAGTATCGTCTGTATAAATGCTCATCCAAATGGGAGTGGCAAACTATCTATATTGATAATCTGTGTCGACGTGTAATAATGCGATAGTAGCAGTTGCTGTTTAATCCTTCATACTGAATAATTTCATTTTAGTTGTAGTATTGTATTGTGAAAATTAATTTATGCAAAGCCGTCGCAATGTTTTTTGTATAATTTAGTTTCATTTCGTTTCAATTTTTCCAAACCTTCAAAATTGAAGCAATATTAGGGAGAGGGAAAAACTGCACTGCTACATTTTTCGCAATCTGTACTATTGATTTATATATGCTGAATGATTCCATCAAATTATTTGTTCACACTCCATATCCATTTTTAAACATAGTTTTGAAATTTGTTGTTCAAATTTGAAAATCCTACGATTTCAAAAATGGAAAAAATATTCATGGCTCACAAGGCGTGGATACTAAGGAAATACAAAAAGCACTTGAATAATAGTGACGGAGTGATAAGATGATGATAATGGCTACGACGACATTTATTAGCAAAAGCATCTGACACAAATTTGTTAATAAACAAATGAAATAAAAAGACAGATGTTTATGACAATTGAATTCAAATTTTTCTGTTTAAAATTTACCCTTTGAAAATTGACCAGGCTTATCTCAGGGGAACTTCACATTTTGCTAGGAGAGAATTTTGCTATGACATATTTCTTAGTGTTTTAACAAACAGATTCCATGTTCATTTCAAATTAGTAGGAATTTATTAATAGAGGTGCTAACTCACTTGTAAATTTGTTCCGAAAAAACATTCACCGTATAGCGATATCATGTAATTCATAAACAATTTCCATGATATGGTAGGATTCGAGAACAAGCTTCAGTGTTTGCTTTTTTTTTTTTTGTCGTATTTCTTTTTCAGTAATTTGTTTTTATTTTTTTGAGCCTATTTGAAGCTATTGCTTATAACCATAGCAGGATTTTACGTTTGCGAGTTACTGTGCAATTGGAAATTTTTGTTTCAGATTCATTGAATATAAAGAATGTTTACACTGAGCAAGAGAGAATTACCAATATTAATATTAGTTTCTATTTAATCCTTTATACTGAATAATTTCATTTCAGCTATTGAATTGCATTGTGAAAATTAATGTATGCAAAGCCGTTGCAATATTTTTTGTACAACTACAACCTTTATACTACACTTTTCCACATTATGTATTTAAATAAATTTTTGCATATTTAATATTACAAAAATGCTAAAATTATTTCGGATTTTCAAACATCTGAACAGTTATTTGAAAATTTCAACTGCATACTGAATTTGGTTTTAAAAAGCTTTCGGATAAAAATTTTCGTTTTAAGCTGTTCAATAATTAGTAAATCATTTAATGACATTTTGTGTAGTAATTAGAAGCTGATGGTAAATAAAACTTTATGAGATGATGAATAGTTTTGGGAAGGTATCGAATTTCTCACTCTGCAAGATATTCATTTTATTTTCTTTCTTATGAAAATTACATTTTTCAAAATGATAAACGAAGCATTCTCGACAATTAAAGCAAGTATTAAATAAAGCTTTAGCTTTTTATTCTTTGTATCCATTTATCTATCATGTGCGAAAGGCGTAGATATTTCGCAAATATTGATGTGCTGCTATTCTTTCAGTAGACTCAAACGATTGTCATCTATCGAAAGCAGTGATGTTTCAGAGTCAACAAGACAAATGTTCTTTTTAGCATTGTTATGTTTCTAATTTATAACTATTGTTAAATACATATTATTAATCAACTACTTACTTAAAAGCATATTCTTATTTCAAAAGCTTGATTTTTTCTTCTCTTCCTACTTTTTTTTTTTCTTTTTGTCGAATATCCTTCATGCAGATAGTTAATGGGGAAATGTTGTTTCAATTTAAAAATAAAATGAAAAATTGTTTGTGAGATTCATTTTTAAATGCTGGGAATAGAATTCTTTGAGGGGTGTTTAAACTACTGAAGTTAAATTTAGTTTCTTTGTTTTTTTTTTCTTTTCAATTGAACATGTTGAACTAAAACTTATTTCTCGGCTGTGGAATTCAGAACAGTTCTAAACTGAAATAGCACTCAGTCAATCGAACGATCTTTAGTAATATCAAAAGAAGAGTTAATGGAAAGGATCTTGTTAATCCTTTGGTTGGAGCTTTTTTTTTTTTTAAATTTCGACATTTTAAAGGTGTTGACATTAGTTCTCTTTATTATCTTTAATTGTATGATAATGCTTACTTCAACTAACATAATTTCTTAGATTTAAAACATACTATGTCAACATCCTAAAACATACTGTGTCAATACTCTGAATAAAGTATGCTTTGTAAATAGTCAGTCCTATAAACATCGAAATACATTATCACTACGAGGAAGGAACTCATTGTCAGGCAGCTATTTTGCGTCAGTTAATTCCGGAAGATTCAAAAGAAAGAAGAAAATGTTGAAACCTCATGCCGATTCACGAAGGATGAGAAGTGGAAATTTTTAAAATTATTCTCCAAGAATTTGCATAGACTTGATGTCTCTTTACTGTCTTTACTGCCTATGCTTACTCCATTTAGAATAACCCAAATTCTAATTTAATTGCAATTTCACAGTTCTAACTAATAACAATGTCACACATTTTTGAATTTTCCGTAATTGATCGATCATCTTCTCACTATCCATTCACTATCCATTATGTAAGAGAAAACGATCGGATCAAGTCAAAAACGAACGGGTAAGACTCTCAGTTGTTGAGGCATCTGAAATCACTAATTCTGCTATATCCTTCGACATGCATACAAATGAATAGCTTGTTTATCTCTTTTCTTGGATATTACTGCTGCCACAATGATTTTTTCTGGTAGTGTTGTCATGGATGAATTCAGATAACCTCGGGATACTTGGGTTCAGCAGCCTTAACAGGAAAGTGTCACATGTCTCATCTACAACTATTGCATGATAGTCTCTCACCTACATTAGGTGACTGTAATTTACGGAACCGTGAAATGATTGTATCCTCATGGACTGATGACGTATAATTCAATTAGGATTTGACTGTTTCTCCTTAATGAGCGGGTAATTTGCCCACAGTGTAGAGTGAAGTATGCAGCAATAAAGTTATTGCTGAAAAGTAAAATTTGGTAGGGAAATTAGAGAGCATTATTAAACTACTTGTCTTGTTCAGTTCTCAATATATTTAAAATTTTTTTAGATATGGTTAAATACGAAACTGTCAAATTAGCCACTGGTGCCGATTTACCGCTTTTTGGTTTAGGTACATGGCTAGTAAGTTTTCCCATTGTTCAGGGTGAAATTTGTTCAAAAATGAGGACTTGGCCTAAGGTGGAATACCAACCAAGAATTGAAGTGACAACGAAGATGTCATCAATTTTTTAAGCCATTATTTTTATAGCTGATGAATGGTTTGCTTAATACTTATTCACTTATTCAATTCCTATTTGATTTAATTGTAAATTTAGTTTTGTGAAATGTAATCTCATTACCCATATGGATCATTCATATGGATCATTCAAATAGTACGGTAAGTCCCAGTCATAAATAAATCGTCCATAAATGATTTGATTGTATTTAAGAAGATTCTATATTCAAATTGCTTTCCTATCAATATTTCAGTCCAATGATCCGGTAGCTCTAACAACAGCATTGAAGACAGCTCTGGATGCTGGATACCCGTTAATCGACACTGCTTATGTTTATGGTAACGAAGCTGTCATCGGGAATGTACTCCAGGAATATTTTACTTCCGGCAAATTAGAACGAAAAGATATCTTTATCACAACAAAAGTAAATTCTTATCACCTAAGTAACCACTTATTATGTACATCGACAAATGATATTGCATCCAAGCTTTCGCAAAAAGTTTACTTCAGTTTATTTGTTTTTAACACTGTATCTTTTTCTTTCTTTTTTAGGAAAAGGAGGGAGGGAAAAAAAAGGACAAATCGTTGAAAATTCCGGACGATCAGCGAAGCGCATCATTGTTTATGTCGAAATCCAACTTTAGCTTTAGCTTATTTTGCAATTCCCTCATTAATTCTTACCATATGCAGCTACCACTCATGGTACATAGACCAGGCGAGATCGAAGAGTTGGTGAAGAAACAGCTGAAAGATTTGCACGTGGATTATTTAGATCTTTATCTTGTCCACTGTCCCTGTCCATGTAAAGTACGTACTTTCATTTCAATTACTTATGTTCTTACTTATTAATTATTGATATATTGAATGTCATGGATAAAAGTTCAGCATCCAAACATTTCAGGAATTTACCCAGTGTGTTACCAATAGCAAACATTATTCATAATTCAATGAAGGCTAGACTATTGTCCTGGTGGTTATCTAATGAATTAATCTTCCTTGGTACTTTTGTGTTAGGCAGTTCAACTGTTTTTGGTTGAGTTGGATCTAAATGTTTTTCTTTTTTTCTAGCATCGGCCTGGCGACACACCGGATACCTACAAACTGTTATTGGAAGATGGACGTGTGGTTCCCGAACTGATTGACCATATCGAAACCTGGAAAGTGCTGGAAAAATTGTATAAAGACGGAATATTGAAAGTATGTTTTGCTGGTGCTGTGTTCGGAAAATAATTTTTTTTCGTGTGATTGATCAAATTTGTTACGCTATTTGAGCTTATCTTCAGTGTTTACTTATTATATTTTCAGGCTATCGGATTATCCAACTTCAATGAGGAACAAATGCAATATGTTCTCGATCATGCAACTGTAAAACCACATAATTTACAGGCAAGAGTCTTTAGGAAATGTTCTCAGTGAAATGATTTCGATGCTTTTATAAGGATAAGGATAATGATGGAATTCTAAATGGCATATTCTGGATTCACAGGATTTGAATGCTATTTAGATGTTGAGTGTTCAAATAGTTTTTCGTTCGTTTTATTGGAATATTAGTCTTTATAAGATCTTTTAATATTCAGGTCGAGACACATCTCTACTGGCCGCAAAAGGAACTTCATGAATTTTGCAAGAAAAATAACATAACAATGACAAGCTATGGGACACTTGGTTCACCTGGACGAACAATTTTCAATCCGGACTTTACCTGGCCCACTGGTGAACCCATGAAGGATCCTCTAGTTTTACAACTAGCCGAGAAATATAAAAAATCACCAGCCCAGGTATGTGCATTCATGGAATTCGGGCTTTTTTATTCTAGGTATCCCATTCAAAAGTTCATTTTTTTTACAGGGATTTTATAACAATCGAACTGCTCAAAATTTTTGGCCACTAAATTAATGTGGATCTGTTCTAGGTGCTTCTGCGTCACATGACACAACGTGGTATTTCTACTATTCCGAAAAGTATTAATCCTGATAGAATACTTGAAAATTTCAATATTTTCGATTTTAAGTTAACGGAAGAGGAAGTCAAGCAACTGGATGACGTAAAGACACGTGTTCGTCTTTTTCTTTTTGATATGTAAGTTTGATTTTATGTTGCATTGTTTTGTAAGATTTTTTTTCCGACGTGATTCGTTTTTATTTGATTTCGTCAAAGATGCTTTGTGGAATGTGTGTAACTCCGTATGTATAACTTACGAACTCTAAAAAGAACTATTTCTTGAAACGTAAGGTTTAGTAACTATGAATGCATTTGAACTACTTCAGGTTTTTCGATCATCCATGGTATCCATTCAAAGATGTCGATGTGTCAAAGATGAAGCGCGTGTACCTCAAAGATTGAAATCAGTATTGTTGCTTTTTTACGTTCACCGAAAACTTTGTCCATCTGTCCTCATTATCCACATTTAGTCTCCAGCTTTCGACAATTTTGATTATCTAGGGAAGCAGTACTTATTGCTGAATCAATTTTTGAGTAACTATTACTACAAGAGATTATCCATCCAAAGTTTTATATGAAGGTATATATAAAAGTCATTTTAGTAAGTATGCTTTGCTCGAAACTCGAAACTGTTTAGGTTTCTAGTGTAATAGGTTTAAATCTTGTTTCCTAGAGAGCTTCGGTTGAAAGTGACAAATATTTTGAGTCCATAATTTTCCGAATTTGAGGGCTGATAATACTTATTTAACTGTGAGTACTTATTGGGATTATTTGAAAATTTCAAGTACATACATTTGGTTTTAAAAAGCTTTCGGATAAAAATTTAATCTTGATTCTAAGCTGTTCAAGAATTAGTAAATCATTTAGTATGATGCCCCACATGAGGGGAATAATTTGACGAGTATTATTGGGTGCGGCTATTTATTCAACTTGTGTGTTTTCACTTTTTTCACTGTTACTGGAGGAAAATATGATCAGATTTTTACCTCCCAACATATTCAATAATTTCTTCGCTTGCAAACAAACCTTTATTTTCTTAGGTCTTTGCCGATAGAATTTGTTTGCATTTTGTTAATATTTTGACCTTTCCAATATCTCATTTCACTGCAAGTGCCTTATTTGACTGCTGTTATCATCCTTAGAACCTTTTTAATTCAATATTAATTGTCGATGAATTGCGAAGATATCTAATTCTTTATTCTTCAAGATATTCAGTTTTCTTTTTCTCCTTTTTAAGAACTTCATTTTTCAGAATGATAAACGAAGCATTCTCGATAATTACAACAAGGACTATCTCAGTCTTCTCTGTACCGCTTTTTTTATTCATTTTATTACGCCACAAGAGGTCGTAATACATGACTTAATCAAAATATTTGGTTCCGTTCTTCTTTTTTTCTCAATATCACTTATATTTCAATTGGCAGATCAGAAATTACGGGGTTTCATGTTATTTCTGATGAATTTCTATAATGTTTTAATGTATTTTAATAAATTTTACGATAATTAGTGTGTTACACATGCTGATGAGTTTATTTATCTGTAATTTTCATTACCTTAATTGAGGATATAACTGTAGCACCAAGTAATGGAAGACAATATTTACGTTAAAAGGTTTGTGATTCTCCAGGGCTTTATAAATGGAAGCAATTGTCTTAAATCAAAGGGAATACTTGATTGTTGATATTACAATCGATAAATTAGTGCGTCACGTTAATTGTAGTCGTAATGTAACAATGATTGCTACAGCCAAAAATCCAGTTGTTACTTTATCAACAAACCAATCTGTAATTCATGCACTAATACACGTTTCTGTGAAGGCTTATAAGTGCTGCATCCTAGTGTTATTTCAGTTCATCCATAACAGAAACATAACAGAAACACGGTAGAATTTCGTATGTATAATACCGAAAAGATATCAGTTATTTTGACAAGCAGTAATATTTAAAGTAAGGAAAATGATTTTCGCGGTGAATACTTTAAAAAATTCCCGCTTTCCATTCTTTGTGGATCGGCACGGAGCATCAACACTTTCTTCATTCTATTAAATTTTCCGGAATTAATTGACGCAAGACAACTGCTGTATTCTGACGATGAGTTTCTTCTTCGTAGTGATAATGTATTTCGATTTTTACAGAACTATTTATGATGCTTACTTTATTGATGAAGAAAATGAAATTACAGTGTGAATATTTTAAATCTAGGAAAAAAATCAAAAAAAAATCTAAGAAAAAGAAAAGCAGGTGGTATTATTTTTTATAAGGAGCCATTCACTACACCAGTTAACTTGGATGTTTTTCAGACTAGGCAAGAAATTACTCATATCAATATACATTTCATCTATTCCGCCTTCTTTGTCCAACTGAGCAACATTCAAACTACAGTAAGTTCATTTAAGGTTAAAAATACAACGTAACGCTACAGTATTTCGAAGATTTCTGATTTTTGACACAGTATGAGATTGATAATTTCATATAATTTGAAGAGAAGCAAACAGAGCCGTTGGATTTATCAGTGCAGAAATTGAGTAGAGACAAGCGCCAGATTTGTGTTTATTAGCCGACGTAGCTTTTAAAGTATATACAGATGAATTTAACAGTCAAAATTTAACAGTTGACATGAACTTAATAATCAAAGAAGAGGGTGCTGGAAGAAAAAGTACGGAAGAAATCGCAGGGAAGGAATCGAAAAGGAAGGAACCGCAGTGTGGTCAACGTCAGAATGAAGTAATAAGCATGAAAGATATGAAAACTAGTACCGGTGAGAAGCTTCACATTCATCCGACATGCAACAAAACCTTCCCTCATTCATCAACTTTGAAAGATCATATAAGAACTCATACTGGTGAGAAGCCATACGTTTGTCCGATATGCAACAACAGTTTCGCTCAATCACCGAGTAGGAAGAACCATATGAGAACTCATACCGGTGAGAAGCCGTACATTTGTTGGATATGCAACGGCAGTTTCGCTCAATCATCAATTACGGGGAACCCATATGAGAATTCATACCGCTGAGAAGCCGTACCACTATCATATATGTAACAAAAGCTTCTGTAACAAATATCATATAATACATCATAGGAAAAGTCATACCACTGAGCCTAACAATTGTCCATTATGCGAAAAAAGTTTCAAACAAAGGCAATATTTGAAAGGCCAATAGCAAATCACTACAAAAATAGGCCGTTCTTCAACTGTACTTTTTGCGGTAAAAGCTTTCTGAATGAACGGTCATTGAAATCACATAAGAAGAATCATGAAAGGAGCTGAAAGGCGCATTTTAAGCTGGAATATGCGTTGTTTTGTTGCTTACAAGTTATTTTTCTGTACTTAGTTTCTATTTTAATCATTACATTCTATTGCTGTCATCATTTATTTCTTGCTTATAAGTTATTCATTTTTTATCTCATATGTATAATAGTATCGTCTTTTTTCCATCCCTTTGCTGTTTTTTTTTCTTTTTTTCATTTTAGTGAATAAAATTAGCAGTTTTGTGTTTACTAGCAGACCTGCTAAATTACTTTTTCGTTATTCGCGCATGCATAACAAGTAACCAGCATGCTATATGCAAATAAGCATAACTGTTAGTTGTAGCGTCATGTCATTTCATAGGGTCACCCGTTTTCAATCCCCATGCAATGTTCCATCGACGACAAACACTTCAATTGAGCTATTTGGAGCAACGTATCATTCAGTTGAGATATTTGATAATCCAATCCAGCTACAAACTTATACCAATTAGTGGACGGACAGTTAATTAGCATTCAGTGAATCTGCAAGAGATTTGAGATCTTATGCAAAGATATGCAAGATGTTCTTTGTCCAATTGAGTAAGGAAAGTTTCTCTCAATGATGCGGCAGGAACATCCATATGAGAATTTATGCCGGTGAGAAACTCTACCACTGTCCCACATGTAACAAAAGCTTCTTTCGATCAGACCATGAGGAAATTCATATGAGAACTCATATCGGTGTGAAGCCGTACATTTGTTCGATATGCAACAGTAGTTTCAATCATGATGCTGGGAGGTCTATATGAGAACTCATATGGTGTGAGAAGCCGTACGGTTATCTCACATGCAACAAAAGCTTCTCTCATTTATCGCTATGAAATATTGTATGAGAATTCATACCGGTGAGGAGCCATATGTTTGTTTGATGTGCGACAATAGTTTCATTTATAGATTAGGAAGATCCATACGAGAATTCATACAGATGAGAAGCCTTAGTCGTTGGATGTGCAAGGAAAGTTCCAGACTAAGACAATATTTGAAAAGCCGTATGGCAACTCACTACAAAAATAGGCCGCTCTTCGACTGTACTGTCTTCGGTAAGAGTTTCCTGAATAAATGTTCTTTGCTTTGTTGTAAAAAGAGCCTGTTGTTTTGTTGATTATAAGGAAATCAAAAGTTTCGAATTTCACAGCAATACTTCTTCAAAGGAAGTAAGTCCGTTTTCCAACAATGTTTTTGATTCAACTTCCATTTTTACCCTTTCACGACAAACGTGCGATAATTATTCTTAATTGCAATGTTTAAGTTTCACAACCAATCCCTTACAAATTTTCTTTCATCTGTTAATCAGGCTTATCTGCCTTATCAAAAATATCAGGAAGAACCTCCAATCTATTAATAAAAAATGGATACGTTGCGAAAGTAACTTTTGGTCTGATAAATTGAAACTTATTTGCAATATCTGGAAAGTTATAATCCATACAAATCTTTAATCTTACAATTAGGCGTACATGTAATGTCTGGAAAATCGTAAACAACTCCACTATACAAAGAGCTTAAATGAATGCCCAGGATCATCCATTCATTCCATCATTTTAAAATCAGAAATCGGGAACAAGCGATCGGAGCATGGCAGTCACTCATTTCAAGGTCCATCGTCAACTCATCATGAACAGTCATCATCCAAGTTTACTCTCTTGCTATCATTCTCCTCTCACTTACTCTGTACTTGCTGATATTGTCTGATAACCCCGACGAAATTTTCCGGAATCGACGATTCTTTATCACATTATACTTAGCTCCGCAAAATGAACAAGAAGGACTTCGTCGTAGAACTGAATTGCACAACATCAGGTTTTCCAAAATAATTCAGTTCTCACAATTAACTTCTGAAAACCGTGAACTCACTACTTTGACAGAAATGCAATCCTATTGCGGTACAAGCCTAAATATTGATTTTCAGTTTCGAGCAAGGTATACTTGTTAGAATTGTCTTTCATATAAAACTTCCGCTTTTTTTTTTCTTTAACCATATATTAATTCATCAATGAGTCTTTGCTTCCTTAGATCATCAGAATTGTTTCTAACCAGTACTAACCACGTTATCCAGGTTAGATGATGCGATGGGAATCAGTCTTGAATAAAATATAATCATAAATGTATAGTGTATAGGTGAGAAATAAAGAAGTTAATTAGACATAAAATATGGTTCATCAAGGGAATAAATATGGATAATGTGGATAAATGGATTGAAGTTCAGTAAATATAAGATAATAGTGGCATTAGTAACTGAAATACACGCGTTTCATCTTCGATAAGTCGACATCTTTGAACGGATACCACGGATGATCGAAAAGTCTGAAGTGGTTCAAATGCATTCATAACTACTGCAACCATAATTATTTAACCTTGCAGTTTAGGAAAGAGTTCTTTCTAAATGTTATAAATGCCCGAATTACATACATTGTAGAAAGCAGAATTTCCTTGACAAGACCAAATAAAAATGAATCTATATCAGTAAAAAATCTCGCAAAGCAATGCAACATAAAATGAAACTTACATATCAAAAAGAAAAAGACGAACACGTGTCTTTACGTCATCCAGCTGCTTGATTTCCTCTTCCGTTAACTTAAAATCAAAAATATTGAAATTTTCAACTATTCTATCAGGATTAATACTTTTTGGAATAGTAGAAATACCACGTTGTGTCATGTGACGCAGAAGCACCTGGAACAGATCCACATTAATTTAGTGGCCAAAAATTTTGAGCAGTTCGACTGTTATAAAATTCCTGTAAAAAAATGAACTTTTGAATAGGATATCTGGAATAAAAAAGTCCGACATTCCATGAATACACATACCTGGGCTGGTGATTTTTTATATTTCTCGGCTAATTGTAAAACTAAAGGATCCTTCATGGGTTCACCAGTGGGCCAGGTAAAGTCCGGATTGAAAACTTTCCTACCAGGCGAACCAAGTGTCCCATAGCTTGTCATTGTTATATTATTCTTCTTGCAAAATTCATGAAGTTCCTTTTGCGGCCAATAGAGATGTGTTTCGACCTAAATATCAGTGTCATGAAAACACGAAATATTTTTATCATATCTTAATAATATCTTAATCATATTCTCAACTTATAATCATATCTTAACTTTATCATATCTTAACTTAATCACATATCTCAATATTGTAAAGAACTCTCACTACACTAGATTCAATTATGGATCATTATGATCATAATTATTCATCCTTTTCTATCAGTTTGTTCGAAAAAAACTATCATTTTATCATCTCCCAATAAACTGTGTTATTTGATTTTCAGTTACGATTTCAATCAAATAAAAACAACTTTACCGACAAGCGAAGGGAAGAATAATCCCAAATATTCTACCTGTAATATTTGCTTAATTATCTTAGCCAAATGGAAATAGTTCTCCATCAAACCTATCTTATCACTATTCGATTGTGCTATAATAAAGTCAAAGAAAACACCTCTCGATTTTATAAAGATTAGTATTCCAATAAAACGAAAGAAAAACTATTTGAATAATTCAACATCTAAACAGCAAATTTCAAATACTGTAATTCCAGAATAAGTCGCTAAGCATATCGTAATTTTATAAAAGCATGGAAATTTCATTGAGATATATAACCAATTATGCTATACAGTCGTAATGTACTGAAGATTCTTACCTGTAAATTATGTGGTTTCACAGTTGCATGATCGAGAACATATTGGATTTGTTCCTCGTTGAAATTGGATAGCCCGATGGCCTAAAAATATGATAACATAAGTAAACTAAAAACACTAAGAAAAGAAAAAAACAAGCTCAAATGATGTAACAAATTTAATCAATCACATAGAAAAAAATTATTAATGATTTCCAGAACAGAGCACCAGCAAAACATACTTTCAATATTCCGCCTTTATACAATTTTTCCAGCACTTTCCAGGTTTCAATATAGTCAATCAATTCGGGAACCACACGTCCATCTTCCAATAATAGTTTGTAGGTATCCGGTGTGTCACCAGGCCGATGCTGAAAAAAAAAAGAAAACATTTGGATTCAACTTTAGCAAAAGCAATTAAGCTACCTAACACAAAAGTACCAAGAAAGATTAATTCATTTGATAACCATCAAGACAATAGTGTAGCCTTCAATGCATTCTGAATAATGTTTGCTATTGGTAACATATTGGGAAAATTCTTGAAATATTTTGGATGCTGAATTTTTATCCATGACATTCAATATATCAATAATTAATAAGTAAGAACATAAGTAATTGAAATGAAAGTACGTACTTTACATGGACAGGGACAGTGGACAAGATAAAGATCTAAATAATCCACGTGCAAATCTTTCAGCTGTTTCTTCACCAATTCTTCAATCTCATCTGGTCTACGTACCATAAGTGGTAGCTGCATATGGAAAAGAATTAATGAGGGAATTGCAAAGTAATTTAAAATCTTATCAGCTAAACAAGTTGGATTTTGAAATAAACAATGATACGCTTCGTTAGTCGTTCAGAATTTTCAACGATTTTTCCTTTTTCCCTCCTAAAAAAGTACAGTTATAAACAAATCAAATTGAAACATTTTTGCAAATGCTTGAATGCAATACCATATTACGTGCAACTGAATGACTGTCAATTGTGAACTTATTTTGTCAATGCATATATGTGTGGTTATTTAGGTGGTAAGAATTTACTTTTGTTGTGATAAAGATATCTTTTCGTTCTAATTTGCCGGAAGTAAAATATTCCTGGAGTACATTCCCGATGATAGCTTCGTTATGATAAACATAAGCAGTGTCGATTAACGGATATCCAGCATCCAGAGCTGTCTTCAATGCTGTTGTTAGAGCTACCGGATCATTGGACTGAAATATTGATAGGAAAGCAATTTGAATATAGAATCTTCTTAAATACAATCAAATCATTTATGGACGATTTATTTATGACTGAAACTTACCGTACTATTTGGATGATCTATATGGCTAATTAGATTACATTTCACAAAACTAAATTCACAATTAAATCAAATAGGAATTGAATAAGTGAATAAGTATTGAGCAAATCATTCATCAGCTATAAAAATAATGGCTTAAAAAATTGATGACATCTTCGTTGTCACTTCAATTCTTGGTTGGTTTTCCACCGTAGGTCAAGTCCTCATTTTTGAACAAATTTCACCCTGAACAATGGGAAAACTTACTAGCCATGTACCTAAACCAAAAAGCGGTAAATCGGCACCAGTGGCTAATTTGACAGTTTCGTATTTAACCATATCTGAAAAAATTTTGAACACAGTGAGAACTGAACATGACAGGTAATTCAATAATATCTTCTGATTCGCCTACTAAATTTTTTCTGCAATAATTTCTTGCTACATACATTACTTAAAATTATTGGTAAATTACCCACTCATCAAGAACAAACAATGAAATCTGAATTAAATTACTCGTCATCAGTCGATAACGATACAATCATTTCACGGCTCCCGTTACCTAATGTAATTGTAGGTAANAAGTTATCATGCAACAGTT